GCCTTAACGCTGTCGGATGTATAGGAGACTTGTCGAGTTTTGCGTCTGCCGCGCGGGCGCGCGCGGTTTGTATGCAAATGCGGTCGCGGCGGCGCGGCTGCGACCGAGTTGGCGGCGGTACAGGTGTGGTGGTGATGGTGGTGGTGGTGTCTGTAGACTCTGGTGATGGTGGAGATAGGTGGGGGGTGATTGGCGCTGGTCGGCGGGTGGTGGGCGGTGGACGGTGGGAGGAGGGAGAGGGGCGGAAGAGGAGTCAGAGGAGGAATGATGGAGGCGGAAGTGGATGGAGGAAGCCCGTGAGGGTGAAGGAGTAGGAGGCGGAATGCAGAGTGACAGGGACGAAGGAGGAGACAAGAGGCACGGAGGAAGGAGGCGGGGGAGGAGGCGGAGGAGGACGTGCGAGGACTGGAGGTAGGGTGGAGGTGAAGGTGGAGACTGAGTAGGCTGGGGAGGTTGGCGGGATAGGTGGTGGAGGAGGAGGAGGAGGCTAAGAGGAGGACAAAACGAGGGGAAGGCGGGGGTGAGGAGGAGATGGGAGGAGGTAGGCGAGGAGGCGGGCAAGGAGCATGAGGAGAATGCGGAAGAGCGGCGCCGGAGCTGAAGGGCGGAGGAGACGGTTAGGCAGAGTCCGGAGGCATAGACGGAGGGCGAGGTGGTGGCGAATGCGGAGTGGAGGTGGAGGCGCAGCGGAGAATGGCGGCGGAGGCGGCGGTGCGTCGAGGCTAACAGTCGCGAGTCGACATGCCTGTCGCACGAGTGCACGCCTAAGAGGTGAGGCGAAGCGGGGCGGGGCGGGGCGGGGACGGGGCGGGGCGGGGCGTGTGTGCAATACCGTTCAGGGGCGTGGAATTCGGGCCAGCGTTTGGGGCTCTGCGGTCGCAACCCGCGCCCCTGCGAGGCAGAGGTTTGAACTGCTGGCCGCTGGATGACGGTTGGACGCTGAGAGGTTTTCTGCTACATCGCGGACCGTTGTGTGGTTGCCATTCTCTCCTCACTTGCTCCGGAAGTCCCAGCTATGCCAGCCACCGACTGTCAGTTAATCTTACCAGTTGAACACTAATTAATGTAGAAACCATATTTTATTTTACACAAAATAAAAGACGATAATGACAATAAAACAGAGGAAAGAAATACAGAAAGGTAGTTGTGGTTGGAATCACCGGAACACTCCGCTCTACGAAAATAATTTCTTTTAAAAGTGAAAATAGTTTTACGTTGAAACCCAACATGAAACCTTTTATACATCTCAAGCAAGGAAATGGAATACCGACGCATAAGAAGTAAAAAAAGAACAAAATGCAATACGCCCAAAAGGGATTGTTTTGTAGTTTACTGCATAAGAAACCTGATTGACCTAATATACAGAGACAGCGAAAAGTGATTCTATTAATTAAAATTTGTATTAACACACACTTTTTGTGTTCAAAGAATTCAAAGTTTAAATCATTGTATTTCCCTTTTGATTAAATAACAAAAGATATAATAGTACCTGTTAATTTTACTGGCTTACGTTGTACATGCATATTGTGTTTTATCACAGATTATTATAACTTTAATAACAAAATTTTCCTTCCACTAACTCTGTTGATTTAGTATTTTATTCAATGTTAATGTATTTATGAGGCGAGTGAGTGAATGTTATTTTTTTTGTTTTTAGCGCACGAGTGACATATGGCTTGCCTTCTTTTCAACCACAAGGTATCGGTATCGATGGGGACAAGAGCAATTTGTAGCTTCCGCGAAAAGTCGCATCTCTGAAGCTGAGGCAATACGGAAGCTGTCTGAGGTGCTGAGGGGCAATGGCATTCCTGCAGTGCAAAGTGCTACTAGTAGGGCCGGTTGGCGTTTCAGGTGCTTGCAGACTGAATGCGAAAAGCAATATTTTGAAACTACTTCGCTTCCTCGAAATTACCTAGAATCATTAGTGTTATTTGTGGTTGTGAGTAGAGAGATGATGGACTCGTAAACAAAGAGACAACAGAATGTACAGCTAGAATTCGTCAACGTATTGTCATATCAAGTGTCACTGGAAGCTGGTGTTCTGCTAAGAGTCTTTCCATTTTCTTTCCTTTCTCTGATGAATAGTCTCGCTCTGAAGTAAGTGCAGGTTCTAGATTGTCCCGTCGTATTTAGTTGAAGGTTAAATGTTAATTCAACGTGAAAATATAAATCTTCCATGAAACTTAGACTCTTCAAACCTCGATTCCTCAAAAATGTTAACTATTCGAATTATTGGATATTTAGACTTATCCCGTTTCGAGTTACCAAGAGCAATAAAAGAGAAATAATATTTTTTTAAAGATCAATGTAGACTAGGCGAACTCTGCTACACACGTAATTGCAAATTCAAATACGAACGAGAGATTTAATAAAGAATACACATTCATATCACCGTGAATATTTTTGTACATTACAAGGCCTTGCTAAGAGAGTATCTCGAAAACCTCTCTCTCATTGAGGTTGGCAATTTCGAGGAAACGACCTCTTGAGATTTAAATTCTTGAAAAACATTTTTAAAAGCTCAAGTCAAAGTGAAGATGAGTGTAGTATAAAAATCAATACAAAAAAGTGTAATATTTCACTAATTATTTCAGTTATTACACGTTCTATTGTTACATATGTGTACTTTATGCGTTTGTATAATCGCATTATTCCTGAAAATTTGAATTGACTGACTGTAAAGGCAGCTAATTTCACGTAATTCAGCATTTTTTCTGCAAAACAATTTCGACGCTGTTATAGCTTTTCATGTTGAGTTTCTGTTAATTCAGAACCCAAGAACCTAAGAATTGTAACTTAATTTACTTATAATTTATATATTTTGTTTAAACGTTATTTATACATTAATATTTATAGCCATATAGTGTTTCAATTGACTGATACCTTCAACCCGCACATTTGCAAAAGTGAAAATTAACATTCACTCACTCGCCTCATAAATATATTAACATTCAATAAAATACTAAATCAATAGAGTTAGTGGTGGGAAAATTTTGTTATTAAAGTTATAATAATCTGTGATAAAACACAATATGCATGTATAACGTCAGCCAGTAAAATTAACAGGTACTATTATATCTTCTGTTATTTAGTTAAAAGGGAAATACAATGATTTAAACTTTGAATTATTCGAGTAAAATTTTGTTTTTAACAGTTGTTTTTAACAGAAAAAAAAACATTTCATGATCCAAGACAGTCCTTTATGAATTGTCTGAAAGTAAATTTTGTAGAAAAATATGTGTGCAGATTGGGTCATCTTTAAAAAAATCAGAAAACATCAATTGTATAATTGCAGTAAGTAGCAAAGAATGTTTCCAGTGAGTATGTAATTAGTATTAAAAGGTACGGTACCCTTGCAGCAACAACCAAAAAACACTCGCCAGTGGCACAAATTCATGCGAGTCCGGTATTAGGTTGCGAATGTTACTTTCATACACTCAGAAAGAATGCAAGAGGTACGCTTGGTTCAGGGTCGGGGAGTTGGATGCAATGTAGATTGAAAAATTCGGATGGTAATGGCTTCTGTATGCTTTGCGGTGATAATGAAGATTGGATCCACATCCTTTTAAACTGCTGTACGACCTAAACATAGAGACGAAAATGGATGGGAATAGGAAATTACTACCAGCATAGAAACGAACGCTCGCCCAAAACATATCAGGTGATAAAAGGTCTCACGTCATGAAAGAATTAGGAACATTTCTGGTTCCTTTCCGCGGCTATGATGCGATGGAGAGGCCATTTGGTGTAAAAACCAGAATTAGAAAGGTTAGTACGCGGTACGATGTAGATTTTGTAATGGCTTAAAGACCTTCAGCCTAGCCAAATAGCATCAAGTTATTTAATTTATAAGTGTATTAATTACCTATTAAATAAAATAAATAATGTAACCACTTTCATTAACAAAAAGTGGTGATGCGAAAAATTGATTCCAGTTATTCTATTACACAGACTTTAAATTAAAATTATCACGTCGTCTTAGAATTAATTTTAAACTATGAGGGAAAAAATACGAATTAAAACAGAAAATATATTGTTATAAAATAAAACGGCCTGATTATAAAATAAAATATACTTACATAAGAAAATATACATTTACTTGATAAAAAGATAAATACGCTAAAAGGTCTTAATAGCTTAAAGTAAGTAGTATCGGCATCATGAAGGATTACGCAGGACATTGACATTCATAAGTGATCTCAGAATAATTCTCCTCCAGCCTTGGATTCCACATGGCAATCGTCGATCGGCGAGCGTGTGCTTTCCACCAGCAGTCTTGCACATGGCGAGCGCCATTCGAATTACCCGTTCTGGCGAACTTCGAACAACGAACACTGCTTGACGTTTGTAGACTGTCGATCATCGGCCGGGCTCCCCAAACGACGAACCTCGAACAGCGAACACTGATCGACCAATCGGGCTGGTCGACCGTCGTCGCGCGACGGCATACGAAAAGTGGACTTCACGGGACGAACATCGAACAGCGAATCCTCGATGGCGAATATCGACCGGCGAGCCGCGAGGGATCGGCAGATGTCGGCGGCGAGCAGCAGGCGGCGGGCGACGAACCCGGGACGCCAGCGGTGTTTGCGTGGGGATCGACGATGACTCTTAGCAGCGGCGGAGGGCCGTCTACCTGGAGCATGGCCGTGAAGTTACTGTGTTGAAGCATCAAACGTTTTGTCTTATTAAACTAATTAAAATCTTAAATATCAACGAAAAAATGTTGACTCGGAAGTGATCATGCTAGAACATGCGGAAGTTGTTCAATATAGAAATACGTGATATTTATTTTTGTAGAAAAAGAAATTTCATTTAACTATTAATAACCATCCTTTCACACCATCGTCGAATGTTATCCGTATGAATACATTCTAAAATACAAACCCATATCCTGAGTATTGGCGAATAAAACAATATTTTAGTGGTGTATCAGATAAAGTCAGGCATTTCATGAGATAAATGATTCGGTTCGTCACAGACGGGGGAGGGGGTCGTACCTGGAGCCTCGTGGAACGGAGGTGTTCGTCTGGGAGACGGCTGCGAAGGCCGCAGCGGCGGCGGCGGCCAGCGCGGGCAGGTTGTGCGACGTGGGCGGGATGCAGTCGTGGCGGTGGTGGCTGCACTCGGGCCACGCGCGGCGCACCCCACGGGATTCTGTGGAACAGTGAATCATCGAATGAGATAGTTGTTGGTCGAATGTTTCATTCCGATGGAAGCGGACTGTTCAAATACGTTAAAAAGACAGTTCGAGAAGGCTACACATTACTCTTACCTTACTTGCCCAAAACGAAATTAAACTTCAAATAATAATGAAATTGCTTACTCTAATTTTCTTAGCCAATAAATACCGTCAAACATCATTGCAGGCCTTTTTGTCGTTCACTGCACAAGGGACTCGGTGGGTGAGACGCCAATTTCAACCCACTGCTGCTATTAACGAAATAGATTATGATTTCCTACTCTCGTCTGTGTGAAACGTTTCTCTCGATTTATATAAGTTTTCTGCTGTACTTTATGGGGCTTTGCTTTTTGACAAAACAATTACACAAAAACAATTCGTGTAGTTCTTATACATATTTGAAAAATAGACGTTAACAGCTTACTTCCAAAGAACATAGTATATCCGTTCCAAGAGGGAGGATTGAATATTCAGAATATCATTAAAAGAAAACAGGACTTCTCTGCGAGAGACTACGCCAATATTCCACGGAAATCTGCCAAGTTGGTGGAAACGTAGGGAGTTGAAGCCGGGACAACAAGCTGACATCGTTCAAGAGCTAACTAAATTCTGACAAAAGGAAAATAGACATAGTGTATTTATAAAGAGTTTTGGCAACGTTTGAAGCAGGGGAAACTTATACGTTACATACCCAATTCTGAGCTAGTGAGCATGCGCAAACTGTAGCGTTGCAAGAGAGCTAGGAAAATCGATATTCCACCAAGAATTTTCGGATGCATCTTTCTAAGCAGAGCACCGCCCAAGTCGAATTAAATCCCTAATTTCCCCAACTACATATCTCCCGATACGTGTAGTAAGTGTTACTGTATCTGTGAGTGTGTAACTGTATGTAACTAAGTGTAAGTGTATGTGTCGAAGGAAAGAGGAAGGGACAATGATGAAGTCAAGACACCGCGCGTTATATTAAGATCCTGCTCTAGAGAGACTCGAACCCAAGGATCTCTACGCCCGAGACACTGTATAAGAAACAGTTGCTGCTTGGAGACATTTTTATCGGTATATTTGTTATTAATTTTAATCGTATTTTGTAACATGGTAGATAAAGTTGACTCCGGTTAGATATAGTGAACTCTCGTTTATATTGAACGTAAGTCTCTTTTTCATTACATTACATTACCGTTATATTACACATAAACACAAAATTCGTTTACAGTGAACTCGGATCCTCGGCTGTAGTGAACGTAGAAAATACAACGTCCTGGAAAATAATTCCTTACTGGAAAAAATACGTCAACTGAGATTGAAAAAATTATCGTCGGCCAAAGGTCGTCATCGAAGAACTCACCCCTGAGGTGCAGGAAGCGAGCACGGAACGGGGACCTTACTGATGAGTAATGAAAGCCATACAAACGAAGGTGTTTCAACAGTGCACGAGGCATTGAAGGGCGTCAAGAGTGCATGACGATACATAGTGACAATGGACAATCCAGCATCAAGTACGGAGAGAGCACGAACTCTAGAAAGGGAACTAGAGAAATTACTAAAATACTGTACGCTGCAAAGAATTGAAAATATTGATATTTGAAGCTAATTAAATATATTCAAATTTTCAGTTTGTGTTTTTTAATGTATTTTGCTTTATCTCATTATTAATAAATCAATTGTGGAGAAATTTAAAATTTATTTGACATCAAAGATATGGTGAACTAAAATATATTTGTCCCAAGAATATTTCACTATAAAACCAGATTCGAGCTGTGGCGTGTAAACATGATAGTCAGGTAATTACAGAGTAGCAACGTCATCACCCTCACGTCAACTGCCCATCGACTTTCTTGTTTTATTCTAATCTGAGCCTCTGCGAAAAAACGCTCTAAATTAACAATAATATTCATGATTGTGTTACACACAACTAACTTTTAGTCTCTACGCCTGTCAGCAGATATGCCATTTCATTCGGCCTGAGTCAATTATGAAAACACTCTAATAGCAAAAGCTAACTGTCGTTGTTACGAAGGGTGCGGAGCAGTGTTACCGCGTGGGGAGCGGGCGAGGGGCGGCGGACGGCCGGCGGGGCGGGGAAGGCGGGGGCGTCCATGAGGGCGCGGTGGCGAGGGAGGAGCAGGACTCGCGGGAGCGCGCGGAAGGTGCGGTGGCGCGACGGCGTCTTGCCGGTGGCGGCGGCGGGAGGGCGAGTGCGAGTGCGCGGCCGAGGGCCGGCGGCGCTCGGCGCGCGCCGACAGCAGCGACGAGGCGTCTGCAGCGGCACGCGCGCCGGCGACGCCCCCAACGCCGCGGCGGCGCCTCGCGACGCGCGCGACCTCGCCCGCGACACGTGACACGACACGCCCGGCGACACGGCCCGGCGTCCAACGCCGTGAACAGGCCCGGTGTCATGTCGGACGACAAACGCCGGCGTCATGTCCGGCGTCATATGCTTGGCGTTATGTCGAGTGATCACGTCCTTCCGACATGTCACGCGTCGTGTTGCGTGTCACGTCACGGGTCACGTCACGCGTCGCGTCACGCGTCACGTCACGCGCCGCGTCACGCGTCACGTCGCGTGCCACGTCGCGTGTCTTGTCGCCGGTCACGTTGCGAGCCAAGTCGCGAGTCACGTCACGTGTGACGGGGCGCGGCTCGACCCGCATCATGGCCCGCGCCACGCCAAAGCGGCTCTGCGTGTCCCGCAGCCGCGCGTCTTCCTTCTCCAACATGTCTACGCGCATCCGCTCCTGCGCAGACCGGGAATCAGATCACGTTTGATCACGAAAGCAATAGAGCACACTTCACTGTTTCTTTGCAAAGGAGGATATTAATATCGACGTTTCCCTTTCTGTTGTTCAACAGTTCTTTATTATCAATAAGAAACAGAAAACAAGTGTAATTGTAATTTGAAGTAATCAAAATAAAATGATTAATGGAATTCAGTTGGAAACTGCAATGTCTTACAAGATAACAATATGTACTAAATTTTTGACAGAAGAATTCACTGGATTCAACGTTTTCCCTTCTTAGCACTATTGCCGGATTTCATTTTTTAAGTTCTTACATCCATCATTATTGCATTATATTTTTTTCAATTCTCGTTCTAAATATAGAATGTTTCATTGTTTTTTTACAATAATGCAAACCTATTTTTCCAGTTAAACAACACCAACTAACTGGTTTGCCGACTTTGTCGCCCATGGAAATTACAACGCACAACAGATCTCATTTTTTCATTTCTTAAGAACTAACAGTATTTGGTGTAATTATTTGTTCGCTTTATATTGAATACTATCTGTTCTGTTAGTTGTACGAAATATTTGATTACAAGTGGTTAATGCAGTGCCTTCTTCAAGGGTTATATTAGTATCCCCTGTCTCTCAAGTGAAGGCGCATCACACTATTGTTTTATGGATTGTTAATGAAAGGAATCAGTTTCCAACGAAACAAAAAATCCTCCATATGCTTACAATTATACAAATTATACATACACAAATCATTATTATTCATTCATATCAAAAATCACAAAGATCGGTTCGGTAGAAGCTACAAAGGTCTGCAAAAAACGTAAAGTATTTTAATACAGTGATTTTCAGAAGCAACTTGTTTTATTTCCATTCTATATTTTTAGTAAGATCCCCATCGCTCATTACGATAAATCCTGTTTCTCTAAAAAGTCTATGCACATCTATTCCTGAGAAGTATTAGAGAAAAATCTGCCTAAGAACATGAAAAGTGTTATCTTTTGGTGTATTGTTCATCTGCATAAATATATTGAATGAAATAACAAAAAAAATATTTAGCATTCAAAAATAGTAGGCTAGTATACTTCCAAATATACACTTTCAATTACCAAATTTGACAGTATTGAAAAAAATTATAACACGAAACACACTTAAAAAGAAGTTCTAGAGAATAGCATAACAGTCATTTAAAAATACTAAGACAAGAGAGCTAAGTTTGGCCTAAAACATATAAAATGTTCACACACAATGACTATAAAAAAGAGAAAATTCGAACACGAACAGAAGAGTCAGCAAGTCGAGAAAGAGAGAACAATTGCCATTGAAAATGCATAAATCGTTCCAGTGAGCACATATACTTTGAAGGACATCAGAACACAGTCGGTACTCTTCATGTCATGGAAATCATTTATCACACAGAAGGTCATTCAGAGCCGCGCAAAGCAGGGAGTGAAATCAACAGCGACGCAACCAAAGGCAGCTGTCTTCGCACACGCGGCAATCATAACCCCGACGCAGATTGTGTACAACTCTCAAGAGAGTGGCTGGCGAAATAAATCCTACATTGTGTAGGTTCATTTCTGTTCGCGTTGTGCAAGATAGAGACACTTCTCCTTTCTATAATGAGGTGACGTGATGAAGTGACTAGACCTCTTGCTTCCACCCCTTTGAAGGGCTTCAAATTCCGGTTAATTCTTGTAGAATTTGTGATGGAGAAATTCTTTGGGCTCTTGGCAAGGTTTTTTTCAGAGTTTTTCCAATCCACCATTACTCATTTATCATTGTCTGCTTCATCTCTTGATTATCAGCTGATGTTCCATGCTTCCAGTTGAATCATTTCACTGCCTTTTTACACCCCAGGGAACATTGACCGTAGCCTCCTTTTCCTAACTCAGTCAAAGCCCCTGAGTCCACTGCCGCAGAGAGCAGTCCCCTGCTCTGAACTCCGTAGCGGCTCTTGAACCATGTTAGAGATGTAAGCGGCGCTTGAACCATGTAAGGAGAGTTGGTGGTGACCAGGTGGCTCTGAGGTGGTCTCCCATGTGTGACTTACTCACGGAGAGAAGTAGGGTTATTGAAGGAGCTCCATTGGTTCTAAAAGGCAACACCATGTAGATAAATAAAGCAAAGATCCATGCCGAAGGCAAGATTCGAACTCTACATCTCACAGCTCGCGGCTGCTGCCTTAAACACTATGGGGACCCAGATTTCACCATCATTCGTATCACGTCACTAAACCATAA